GGTTTAATCAATTTCCTTCAATTTATGCACAATCATAGGTCACTGTCATAAGACGTGACAGGAACATTTTCAAGGTCATCAAGTCTTCATGACGTCATCCAGGCGCCATTTTTTTATTGGTACTTTCAACTCATGATCATATCTTCATAACGGTCAATATCCGTCCGATCAATTTCAGGTTTAAAAAAACGCGCGCGCATGCGTACGTCCGCGCGTCAACGCGCGCGCAATAAATAAAAATGCTCCGAATCGTCTCAAATTCATTCTTCATACGTTTCAGGCCATTTTAAGCATTTTGCAAAAAAAACGTGCACACGCGCATAGGCGCGCATTTTCGCGCGTACTAATATTTTGCAACATAGAATCGCCAAATCCTGTCATCATGTTTGGCACATTTTTCCAAGCATTTTGATACCTTGTTTACCTTTTCCCGACCATTAATAACGCTATTAGCGTCCGTTTTAGATACATGTCCGTGCCGGCCTGCGAGCTCTTGTAATACATATCATATATGGGCAAAAACATGCCTATACAAAATCCATTGTAGCTCTTTAGGATGCAAGATGACCCCAATTTTTTTTCATATCTTGATAAAGTATGAGTCGGAGATATGATTTCATGTCTCATTTGACCCTCAATTTACTCATGACGTCATCATAATGGCCTCCGAACTCAAAATTTCAATTTACATATTATGACGTCAGCATATTTACGGAAAATTGATTGTATCACTGTAAATATTTATAGATTTTCTTTCAAATGTTGATATGTTTTAGCTGAGACAATTCTCTACAAATGCAGTTTACACGAATTTTCATTTTGACGAAAGCATCATGGCGTATTTTTGCGATTAAAGGAGGCATGTCAATTTTTCACATTTTGCGTGTATTCTCTATGGGACATGACTTTTTCTCAAAACAGGGCCCCGTATTATAAAACTTTTGACTTACCACAATAGTAACTCCCCGAGTTACTATTATGGTAGTTACCATCAATGGTAACTACCATCGGAGCTTAATATCCGTTGCATAAAACCGATATTAACTAATATAAGAAAAACCCGCGAATGGTCTTCTTGGACGAGCCAGAAATTTTAGCGCATGCGCAATACACGTCGTCTGCTAGATATAGCCACTGAGATAAACACCGAAGACGGCTGCTGCTAATCTACAATTATCGTCAATCGTACGTATTTCTTGACTTTAATCATTGTTATGTGTTAATCGAAATAGCATATTCATTCTGCTATACATATTGATAAATGTATTAGTACTGGCAATAAACTTGCAGCCTTTACTCAGACAGTATTTGCCATCGTACTGGGGTTTAATTGTAATGTTTACGTCAGTCTCCGCAGTCGTACGTGCTTTCAGAAGCCAGCGGCGACTAGAGTACTGAGCTCCCCGGAGGAGCTGGGTAGCATAATCTGACATTCCACTACTAGCATGACTAGATTGGGTGGTGTTTTGAACATTCGTTTATCTACAATACCCGATGATTTAAAGTTGTTTAAGGGTAAACAACTTGCAATTACCTCATAATATCATTCTAAAATGTAAAATACTAGATTCTCAATTAGAATAGACCTATCTAGATAAAATTAAGACTCTCGATAGGTCTAAAGTTAAGTCGATTAGAATTTCTACTTCATTCCAATTTCTAGTCTATAATTATATAGACTCTCAATTAGAATTTCAACTTTATTCAGCTTCAGACTAGTAGTAGATCTATAATCAGATACTACTTAAAATAGTATAGACCCTAGACTATGTCTAGTGTCAGAGTGTGAGCATGTCAAGTGTGAGAGGTGAGGGATTGGGCCGGCGATTGGGCCGGCGATTGGCAGGGGCATGAAATATAACGATATACTGAGCTGTATAAACTATAATCTAGATCGACTACATGTAAGCAGGGAGTTGGAAAAGCCCCTCCCTGATGTAAGTGTGCGGGGGGGGGGGAGTTTTTATTTCTCAGACTCAAGAGTCGGACTGAGTAAGGTCTATAATCCGAGTGTAGATTTACAGAACCATAATATTAACATGATTAAGTAAAGTAGTAAAGTATAGCATAGACTAGCTTCTACTCATACAGATCTACATTGGTTGAAAAAGTAAATCTTTTACTATTATTAGTATTATAGGCCCTAGTAATTGTCTATTGTGAGTATTGTGTAGTCTAGTAAAAGCAAACCCCTTAAACTTTAATTTATTTTTCAATTGATAATAATAATAATAATTATTGATGATGATAATAGTCTAATAATAATAATATATTGTAAAATGCATTAACTACATGTAGAGTCTAGTCTATATTTAGAAGTTAAATGGTGGTAATTTAATTGGCAGGTTTTGAACCTATACTAGTAGAAATATTGAGATACTACATGAGTCTAGATCTAGATCGATGCCCTATACTGATCGAGTAACAAAACCAAACAACAATCTTGTGTTTAAAAGGGTTTGATACCGTCAAATTTGATTTAACAGAACTCATTTTAAACAATCTTTCTGGCTTCTCATTAGTTTTTTAATTTTGTTTCTTCATTCTAGGAAATGGTGAAACGCAGGCCGAACTTGACAGGTCGGGATGTCCGCTGCCTGGCAGCTTTCGTAAAAAAGAACCGACAAGCTTTGTTCGGCAAAGCGGGGAACTGTGTGGAAAAGGTTTGTAAAATCCATTGCAGATCTATCTATGAAAATTTCCAGAACATAACTATGATTTCGAATTTGAATAAAGAGTCTTTTTATCTAACTTATTTTTATTTTTCCTTCTTTCAACTTTTCTTCTAATATTAAAGTATACCGAAAATGATGTTTTGGTTTTCATTTTTTCTGATGCCCAAGACAGAATGCAGTCCACTGTCTTTGGAGACAGTTGGATGCTATCATATGAGAGTATTCTTTCAAAATAAGTAAGGGTGAATTAATATGTTAATCATCTATTGCATATAATTAAAGAGAACTTGAGTAGGTTCCAATTTACATTGTACTTTTCAGGTGGGCTGTATAACGTACAGACCACCTTATAATTTCGTTAGAATTGCCTTTATTTATTTTTATTCTTTATTTTTCTTATTTCGAACCACTTTTTTGTAAGCACGATTACTTAAAAATGGCTCAATTAAATGCCTTGAAATTTGGCACACATATGTATAGGCATATGTACAAAGCACAATAATGTTTTCAACATTGATCTTTACTGATGACGTCATTTAGGCGCCATTTTGTAAAATTTTACGAAAATCAACTCATGATCATATCTTCATAACCAAAAGCTATTTCTCATTCATATTTATCATGATCAAGGTCAATATCCGTCCGGTCAATTTCAGGTAAAATAACGCGCGCGTGCGCGTACGTCCGCGCGTCAATGCGCGCGCAAATTTTTGAAATGCTCAAAATCGTCTCAAAATCATTTTGCATACGTTTTAGGCGATTCTAAGCATTTTATAAAAAATCGCGCACACGCACATGCGTGCGCGTTTTCGCTCGTAAAACTATTGCACAACATAGAATCGCCATTTTTTTTCTTTCATAATATTCCACATATTTTTACAAAAAAATTGATACCATGTTTATCTCTTTATGACTATTAATGACGGAATGATCGACCGTTAAACATAAATTTCCGTGCGCGTGAGCTTTTGTAATACATAGCAAACATGCCTATGCAAAATCCATTGTAGCTCTTAAGGATGCAAGGTGATCCCAATTTTTTTGAAATATTTAAATAGAGTATGAATTGGAGATATGATTTAATGTCTCATTTGACCCTCAATTAACTCCTGACGTCATCATAATGGCCTCCGAACTCAAAATTTTAGTTTGCATATTATGACATCAGCATATTTATGGAAAATTGATTGTATCTCTGAAAAATATTGATCGATTTTCTTCCAAATTTCGATATATTCTAGCTGAGACAATGTTCTACAAATGTAATTACCACAATTTTTCATTTTGACACAGGCATCATGGCGTATTTTTGCGATTAAAGGAGGCATGTCAATTTTTCACTTTTTGCGTGTATTCTCTATGGGACATGGCTTTTTCTCAAAACTAGATTCTACATTCCCGTCTTTCGCGAGCAATATCTCCGTCGTTTTTAGCTTCGTTTACGCTGAACTTTGAGTATGATGTAGCTGAGACAATTAGCTTTCTCAAATGTACCCTTCATTTTGTCTAAAATTTTAGTTGGACCAGCCCACTTATACTTGTTCCAAACAAGTATTACAAATCTAGTTGTTCTTGAATTTTTGTAGATCAAAAAACGAAAAGAAGATGCATGGGCCCTAGGGCTCGTATCCCTAGAGGCCCAGGGACTCCAACCAGGTAGGACGGTGAAGGACTTACGTCTTACCTGGAATGAAATGGCGGCAAAGGCTCGAAAGTACAGGGACTCGAAGAACAAGACGGGTAAATTAAGCTGTCTTTATTGTGTAACAGATAAAACTGTAAAAGGTACATTTCTTGTATACTCCTACCACATGTAATTTATCACCAATAGTTACCTGTGCTTGCATGGTATATCTTATTTCAATAAAGAATACTCTGAGTAACCTATCAAGAAGAGTATTGAATTAGTAAAGGGGTTTATTATTATTAGGAGACTTAGTTGGTAGATTGGTGGTCTCATAATCCGGTGACCTAGGTTCGAAACCATGTCGTCGATGCACTAGTGCCCTTTGGTATTAAGGCATTATTCCTCATTACCAAGGTCCCTTAGGACCTAAAGTCGTCGGTTAATAACAAGCACTCGTGCTTTTTTAGCAGTCGGGTAAAATAACCACCACTAAACCCCAAATCACAACTTATATTTATTTGGTATAGGTTATTAACCATCACGACCTAATCCAAGATCTCTCTTTAACTGTCATGGAAAACAAAATTACGATCGATATTAACATTTCGTAAAATTTATGGTAAGAAGTTAACATTTATTTCTTTGACTTTGGATCATTAGGAGGTGGACCACCAGTGAAATACAATGAAAAACACGAGGCTGTACTGGAGGCAATGGTGGAGGAGAGTGTCGAGGGCATTCTGGGGCCAGAAGAGGAGGCTGGATACCTAGCTCTCCCTTCGAGCCAAATGTCACAGGTAAAATTCGTAGAATTTGATTGACCCCCTCTCTGGGTATGAGAGTACAAACAAACATAAAAATATACATAGTGATGCATGACTTGTGAATATGTACATCTTTGGTTTAACCCTAACTTAGCCAAAGTGGGGGGGGGGGCTACCAGTACCCACACCCCCCTCCTCAACACTTTTTATGATATGCCTGCATCGCTGGCCAAAATCTCAGGGAAGGGGGCGTGGGAGCCCTTTCCCTGACTCTGAGAACTTCAAAAATACCCAGGCCTAATCAGGGTTTATCTTGAATTGTAGATGGTATTGAAATGCTTACCACTATATTACTTAATTTATTTGACGACCTTCAAAGTGTCAATGTTATGTTGACCACCCTACCCCCCTAACTCTATTTGAAAAAATTATCCCATTGAACATGAGATTCAAATGTGGCATGTATTTTTATGTGAGGCATTTTCAATACGGGTATATGGTAATTTTTTTGTTTAACAAAAACAAAATCCTCACTGATGGTGTACGGTACAACAATTTTTTTTTCTTACATTTTTTAAATATTTTTTTTAGGGGGGTGTTTTAAACCTTTTTTTCAAACATATTGATGATTAGATAAAACCCTTACTGACATTGTTCTCTTTTTATCACAGAATTTTAATAAATAAAATAATAATAACAACATTTAGACAGTATGGTTCTATAGTTCTTTAAAACTCAATCAAGGCAATCTTTATTGTTATATGCATACAGACAGCAGAAAATGCCATGGCTGTGGCCATGATGGTAAACACCATGGTGGGTGGCATATCTGTGCCGGCCCGGGACCCACAGACCAGTACTAGTGCAGCCAGCAGTGCCGGACCACCAATAGACCAGCCTGTTCTAGTAGGGGATAGCACGGCCAAAGACACCAAAAAGCCAATCAGCTGTTATGAGGAGAGACTTTTGGAGATAGAGGAGGAAAAGTTATTAGTCATGAAGCGTGCGCTTCACGTTTTCGAATTATTTGTCTTTAATCAAAAAGAGGTTTAAAATTGTTACTTTGTTTGTTTTGCAAATTCCATGTTAATTTTGTTCTTATTCATGATAACTTTACCTTTCAGTATTTAAAAAGATTATATCATTGTGCATTTTGGAACTAAGGAAATTAGGGTTCCCAGAAATCTAATATGAATATGTCGTTATTAAAAATAAATTGACTATGCATGAGCGTTCCACGGGACTCCCCCCCCCCCCCCCCAGTCAGGTTTGGATTAAATATGTGGCCTGCTTCTGAATAGAACAAATTACAAATTCAGGAGATAAACTCTTCCCATATATTATACCGTAAATTAATTGCATCTAAAGATAACAATGCTATGAGGCCAATCTTAAGGATATCTTACACACTTCATTGAAAGAGGGCCTTGAATATGATGTCACATTCATATACAAATTTATAAAACAATATGACTATTTGCAGGTCAGCAGAACATGCCCTAGCCCGGCGATTCTGTGAAATTTGGATTTTGGCTTGGTGCTACCTTAGCAATTAATCCCCCCCCCCCCCCGGTTGAATGCAGTACTGAATTGATTAAGATTCTCAATGCAAACAGAAGATTACTACCACTTGAGTTATATAGTACAAGTATATTTTAACAATATTTTCACAACTAAATAGTGCAGTAATAAAAAGAATTTATGTGTCAACTTATAGATGACCCAAAATGGTGTTTTAAAGCAGGGGAAGTCCACCCTAAAAATAAATATGTTGGAATGATATAAAATATAGATAAACAATAAGGTCAGTGACAGTGAATGTTGAAAAAGATTCTTGGTTACATCATATAGAAGTCTTCATCATAAAAATCTAGTGGAAATAATTAGCAATAATAGTGTTTCTGATGGCTAAGCCGTTGTCTACAATGTGGTCGTCCATGTCTGGTTCGTGTTCATGTTGTTCAATACCAAAGTCTACTTCATCAGGCTGCTTCAAATCTTTAGCCACATTGTGTAATACGGCGCATGCAGTGATGATCTTGCACGCTCTTCTGGGTGCCATTTGCATTCCATTGAGTAGACACCTGAAGTTGTGCTTGAGTTGGCCGTTGACTTGTTCAATTCTTACTCTCGTTGTAGCATGTGCTCTGCAGAGTAAAGGAAAGTATTGAAGTATAACAAATTAAAAACAAAGAATTATTGGGAAGTCTATTAGACTATGAAAATACATACTACAGTGCTATACATCTAACCTATACATTTTCAAAAGGAAGTAAGTCACATATATGAGTAATTTTCTTTTTTACCTGTAGCTCTTCTGGGCCAAATGTTATTCATGAACACTCATCCTGCTAATTAAGAGATGTGATTGGCACATTGGCATCATGGTATTGCTTTGATGTCTAAAATGGCATACATTCATTCACTTTCTTTTTTAATTGTAGATACAAATATGCATTGTAATGTTTCTTGTAGTACATATCTATTGTAAGCCTGTTCTGCAGGAGTCCTTGGATTTAGCACTGGTGTCATCAGGTATGGTCTTAAAGCGTAACCAGAATCTCCAAGAAGTAGACCATGCTGTTGTAGATCTTCAAAAGTCTGTCCAACTCTGCTGTTCTGTATAAAAGAAGAATTATTATAAGAATGAACATAATATGGTAGAATAGGTGCCCCTTGACCTTTGATATTTATTGCATTCTCTTGCATATACACATTTTGAAAAATTATTAAAAATTGTAAGATCTTAGCTTAAGCTAAATAAATAATTGTGAATTCACAATTATTTTGTAGCATTTGTAACAAACATTTGACATCAATTTCAATGATTTACATGTATGTCAATATATGTTTTCATGGAGGCATTAAAAACAAAAGTGGGTTTCATAGGAAATTTTAGAATCAAAATATTATGGATTTACCTGAAATATCCTGCTGTCATGAGTGCTGCCTGGCCAGCGTGCCAAAATGTTTATGATCTTGTAATTGGTATCACAAATTATTTGGGTATTGATGGAGTAATATCCTTTTCTGTTCATATAGACGTGCTCACCAGGGCCCAAGGGAGCTCCATTTAGTCTAATGTGTGTTCCGTCGACCACTCCTATGACCTGGGGAAAGCCTGATATGTTGAAGAAATCCACTTGGGCTCTGTTGACTTCTTCCATCGTCGTTGGAAACTTGATTATCTGAAGTGTGAATTGGATTGGAGATGCAGAAAGAAAACAAAAATCAACAATTCCATGTTGCATATCTTCATATGTTATGTATACAATACAAGTCTAATTCATATGCAAACTTTTGAAATGTAATTTGACGTATATTTTATTCATCGTCATTATATTTATACAGCTATGTTGAAATTCACCAGTATTTATTATTATAGACAGAAACGATGTTATATCAAGAAATGTAATCTTTATCACATTGTAAATTATATGAATAAATATTTATCTCCTACGAATACATTTAATATTCAGAGAATTGGACATGAACTTTCTTTCTTTCAATCAAGTGTTGAGAAAAGTATGTGAAATATCTGAAGAAGTTCTATAGTGAAGTGATTAAAAAAAAATTATGAGAGAGAGTGCAAGTTTTCTTTGGCTGTACTCGAACTCATGAACATATTCATAGTTATGCTATTAATGGTGATGCAACTAACTATTCCTATAACTATCTATTCTTAAAAACTGATCTCTTTTCTTTCTAAACCCCTCGTCTCTCTCTCTTCCCGGGCCTCTATATAGCTCTCTCTCTCTCTCTCTCTTTTCTCCTGTTATTTATTATTTACTTATTAGTTTATGCTTCTCCGGGGAAAATCTTGTTTGAATCTACGTTCTTCCTCTTAATATAATCATGACAGTTGTGTGTGTTTTTTGTTTGTCTTTTCATCAATCATTACTATTATCATTTTCTTTATTATATATAGCAGTATTGTTTTACTATATTCTTTTTTAACCATTTTGTTGTGAGTTTTTTTTTTTTGGTGACGGTAGTTTAATTATGTTGTATTTTTTACTGCTGTGGATGCGCATATAAATTTATCGTTAAGTCTATTTGATATCTGTGCAAAAAGAGGAAATGATGAAATTGGAAATTGAAGACGTTAAAATATCTATCGATTGGCATATAGCTTTCCATACTGTGGGCTCAGCTGATTCAATTTAGAGTACGTATTATGTGTGCATGCAACATTTGCCTCTGCCTCTGGTCATGTGAATGTGATGAGAGACTCCTCGTTTTGTGCATTAGAAAGGGTGCTGTTTTCGTCATGACAGTCATTCATCATGCAATCATCATTCAGTAAGAAATTTGTTTTGACATATATACCTATATGAAGGGTCATAGGTAGACGATTCATACAATCAAGCTCGCATCATATCACGCCAATTTATGGGCGACTCTACACAAATCAATATACCTAGGACTACGTGCAAAATAGTAATTATACTAGCGCTAGCGCTAGCGCTAGCATCTAGCACTTGCACTCTCGCTAACTTGGGGAAAGAAGTTTGGATAAAGATGTATTTATTATTATGAATTCTTTATTAGACGTAGCTATTGTTTTGATTATATGACCACTAATAAAATGATACTATAGGTCTACAGACTACTAGTACTACACAGAGACTGCAGTGACGGTAGTAGACAGGCAGCTAGGCTCGGCCAACTAACCGACCGCGCCAGCGCTGCCCCAGCCTCCCGCCCGGCCGGCCGCCACAGTCGCGGGCTCTGTCCCATGGCAACCACGGCACTAAATTGTCAGACCGCTGTATAGACCTATGTCATGTCATTGCTTGGTCGTCTAAGATTAATTAAACATATAAATTTATCTGAAATAGGTATTCCATGTGTTCATTATAAAATGCATAGTATTTTTAGTATATGCATGTCATGCATGATAAAATTAGAGTTCTTTTTCATCCTCTTATTCTTATTAATTTGCTGATTGAAAATTCAAAATACAAATTTTAGACAGACTTTATTTTCGTCTTCTCTTTGCTTTATTAAAGAAAAAAATATTGACTTACCTCATGTTTCAGTGTGCCGAGGGTCACTGGCACACGGTGAATTACCCTGGAAGCTGTTGCCCGGGTGATGCCATGAATCGTGGCCGTGGAATCAAGCACTGCCCCCGTTGCATAAAAATTCAAAGCTATAAAAACTTGCAGCTCTGGGGGAAGTGCCTGATTCCGTCTGGTGTCGTGCTGCAACAGGGGCCGAATCAAATTTATAACATGAATACACCCATCCCGTGTAAACCGGTACTTGCGAAATATGTCTTCATCCCTTAACTCCAAGGGCTGGCCGCGATTCCTGAAGATCCGCTCCCTCCTCCTCGCCCTTTCATATCCACGACGCTGCAACACAGCCAGTATGGCAGCCATAGTTACGGTAGTGTTACCGCAAGCTCAGAGGGTAGCGGTAATGTTACCGCTGATCTTTACAGACTTACCGCTCAAGTCCAGCGGTAAGTTTTTATGCAACGGATATTTACCGTTTATCTTAAAGTAACCGCTGCTTTTAAGACTTACCGCTCAAATGAGCACTTACCGCTACGGTAACTGTTTTATAATACGGGACCCTGGATTCTACATTCCCGTCTTTTGCGAGCATTATCTCTGTCGTATCTTTGTTTACGCTGAGCTTCGAATATGATGTAGCTGAAATAATAAGCTATTACAAATGTGCCATTTATTTCTCGATCAGATGCCGGGATCATGCTCATATTACACTTGCAAAGTGGGATTTGAGAAATTATTTTTCGTTTACGTGTAATCGCTGAGGGAAATGTTTTGGTGTATCGGTAACGCATTTGACTTCCGACCTCGAGGTTTCTGGTTTGAGTCCGGGCGTCTCCAACAATTGTTTTTCTTCACTTTTTTTTCTTTTTGACCTTTCACTGTACCATCTCCTTTGAATATTAAAACACGTAGAATCGCAAATAATGTAATAAACAACTATATTTACTTTATTATTACACTATTATTACTTGATCCATTACTGTTTGCGTATATTCCTTATAGGAGATGACTTTTTCTCAAATTTGAATTCTACATTCATGTCTTTTGCGAGCAATATCGCCGTTATTTTTAGCTTGATTTTTGTTGATTTTCGAGTAT